CTCAGAAAGCAAGGCACACATAACCCCCACAGAATACCACACAACTTAGGGCCAGCCAAATAGCTCGGCAGATTAAAGCACCTGCAAGCAGGTGCAGGAGCTAGGGGTTCAATCCCCAGGCCTTCCAGGTCAGCCCTGCCCCCGGGGCACACAGATGACAATTAAGACTGGGCGTGGTGGCACGTGCCTGTAATTCCAGCTCTTTGGAGGCTGTAAACAGGTGGATCACTACAAGTCAAATCTAGTAGTGAGACCCAACACCCTGTAGACCCTTCCCTAAAATAAAAAAAAATAAAAAGTACAGCACAGAACAAAAATGATGTCCTGTCATATGTAACAACAGAGATGGAACCGGAGATCTTCACACTAAGAAATAAGCCAACAGAAAGCAGTGTGGACTGGCCTCCCTCTGAAGTGGAATCTAGAGCCTGGGAGAATGTTCAGTGGCATAAGCACCTGCCAGGGAAACAAAAGGCCCTGAGCTCTAGCCCCGGTACCACAAAAAAAAAAAAAAAGTGGAATCTACAAGAGCTGATCTCAGATGCTGAGAGGAGAATGGTGGTTGGATAGGCGAGAGGTGGGAGAAGGGAGGGGTGGGAAACACTGGAAAGTAGGTACCAAGTTGCAGCCTGGCAGGCAGAAGTGCTTCGGCACAGCAGGGTGAGTACAGGCAATGACAAAGACCAGTCTACTTCAAGAAGCTCAGAAACATTTTTGTGTACTCTCCCCATAAAGAAATGACAACTGTTGGAAGACACAGGTTCGAACACTGCACCATGTATCCTCACTACCATAGATATCCTTTACTTTTTACCTATCAGTTTTTTAAATGATTTTAAGATGGTTAATTTTATATTATGCAAATTTACCTCTATTTTTTAACACAATGTCCTTTTATTTATTTATTTTTAAGATAGGGTCTCACTATGTAGCCCAGGCTGGCCTCAAACTTGCAATAGTCCTGCCTCAGCTTCCTGAGTGCTGAGATTACGAGCATGCACCCCCGCACCCAACAAAGACATCCTATTTCATACTGAGACACCAGACCCATGCCCTCTAAGCCTGAGCACAGGCAAGTACAGAGCGCCTTCCCAGCCTGGAGAGGGGGTGACTCGAGGGTGAAGGTGACCAGGCTCAGGAAGGGTCAGGGATCACTGAAAGAGCAACACAGACAACAAGGCACAAACGGAAAATCTGCATCCGACAGTCACATCGGACAAAGCACTGGAGGGCACAAAGGTAAGAGCCCCAACGGATGGAGGAGGAGACATCCCTTTCCATCTCCACCCACCATCGCAACATACAACACCCAGAAATAGCAAAGAATGGAGACCACGGCACAGAACAAGGATGAAGCAGAGGCAGGCTCCAGCACAGCGGGGAGCGTCGGGCCCTGGCAGCACAGAGGAGGGCGGGGCTGTTCTCTGGGGGAAGGGCCACTGAGAAGGGGACCACAACACGGAAGACACCAAGCGTGGAGCCACAGCCAAGTGTCCCAAACCCACAGCACCCCCTCAGCACCCAGGCCAGGTGACCCAGACAGGCCCATTCATCCCCACCCCACTGCCTGGAGTCCACGGCCTTGTCCGCTGAAGAAACCGAAGTACAGGTGAGCCTCACAGACATGGTGGTTTAGCTTCCGACTACTGGAGTAGTGTGAGTATCAAAATGTGGTGAGCCATAGGAACGGTATGAATCCTAGTGCACATAAAAGTCACACTTGCACTGTCCTCTAGCTGTTAAGTACATGAGGACACTGCATGTGAAAAATGCTACAAGCCGGGCATGGTGGCACACACCTGCGATCTCAGCACTTGGGAGGCTGAGGCAGAGGATCCTTGGGAATTCAAGGGTGGCCTGGGCTACAAAGTGAGCTCAAGGCCAGCCTGAACTACATAGTAAGACCCTGTCTCAAAAAGACAAAACAAAATAACATAATAAAATAAAAGCAACATATACTTCCTAATTAAAATTATTGCTAAAAAATACTGATAATAATCTGAGCTGTGGGGAAAATGGCACTGATAGAATTATTCATTGAGAAGTTGCCACAAACCTTCAACTTAAAAACTGCAGAGCACAATACCATGAAGCACAATAAGATAAAGTATCACTATATTTTGGATCTGGGGGATGTTTGTTACTGTTGCTTCATATGGCTTTTCCTAACATATGCTATGTAAGGATTTAACCTAAAATGCCGATATAGCTATACTGATCAAATGCAAAGCTCTAAACAGGAGAATATGTGCATTAAAACCATCTTTAGCACAATACATGGTCAAGAAATATGACTGTAGGCTAGAGGTATAACTCATTTGTAAGCACTTGCATATCACGCACAATGCTCTTGGGTTGAATCCTCAGCAACACACACACACACACACACACACACACACACACAATCAGTGCCTTATTTTGATAAATGTGGAGTTAAGTCCCAGAAAACAAAAAACAGGCCGGAAGTGGTGAACTATGGGGGAAGGGAGAGGAACTGTATAGGAAAGTGGGTGTCACGGTCTGCTATCTTCCCACTAACTTCTAACATGTCTATGTATTAATCTGACCAAATAAAAATAATTTTGAAAAAGTGAGTAGAGACACTGGGTCATGACAGAGGCAAGCAGGGGCAGCACCCAGCATGGCCAAGCTAGTACTGGCCTGCTTAGAAGGCCACATAGGCAAATCCACACACAGGCCAATCTTAGCTGCCAGGACATGCCCTGGTACCACGACATTTGTGGCTGGAAGTCTAAAGACAAGAGTCCAAAGTCCAGTTCCACCACTCTTGAGTGTAAGCAACCTCAGCTTTCTCCCTGACCTTCTGTGGTGACATCAGGGGGGGCAACTGCCGCTTTCTCAGCACCGTGTGTGGTACAAAGGGGGCAGAATGACTCTGCTGCTTCTAAAAGCATCACTTGACGATGGAGACGCATCCTGAGAAGCGGGTCACCCAGCTGCTGCTTCATTATGGGAACACCACGCAGGGACGGCATCCACCTAGGCTGCACGGGGCGCTGTGCGAGTATGCATGTATGTACGTGTGTGCGTGTGTATGCGCGCATCAGATAAACATGATACTGTATACGGCTACAGGGCCATGATGAACGAAACACCACAAGATTAAATCAGCCTGAGGAAAAGACAGTGTGATCACCACATGGGGTACACATGAGACGTGAGGCTCCTGCCACCTTCACGGGTACCCTGCTTTATAATCAACTGATTTTTCTTATAAATACAAGAAGTACATTCTAAAAAGCATAAAAATATATACAGTAAAATAGTAAATACATACATCAGTAATAGTCATTTATTGTTGTTAGCTTTCTGTTACCACACACAAAAAAATCTGTAATGATCAGCTTATAAAGTTGCAAGGTTTATTTTGACTCAGACTTTTGAAGATTTCCATCCATGGTCAGTTGGCCCATTGTTTCTGGGCCTGTGAGAAGATAGCATCTCATGGATGACAGGGGTATGTACTGGAGTAAAGCCGCTCAGATCATGGCCAGGATGTGCAGGAGAGAGAGGAAGGAAGAGGGATGAGTTCCCATAATCCCCTGCAAGGCCACGCCCCCATGACCTCACTTCCTCCCACTAGGCTCCACCTCTCAAATGTTCCATCACATCCCAATAGTCAAGTTGAGGATCAAGCCTTTAACACATGAGCCTTTGGGGCACAGTCCAGATCCAAACCATAACAATTACCTTTCCCAAGTTGCTCTGCAATGTGAATAATTATGTACTATATTTTTACGTGACTGGCAGTAGAACAGATTCTTCACACTAGCATCATCATCAATACATGAGCAACAGTACACCATGATGTATAACAGCTACAATGTCTCAGCAGCAGGAATTTTTCAGCTCATTATAATCTTATGCAGTCACTTCTGGGCCAGGATGTTCCGACATGGTATGTGTCTGTGATTGAAGGAGCTGCCATGGAGAGTGGGCTTCCAGGAAGAGCTGATCACCTAGAGCCCTGGGCCCCATCACCACAGTGCCAGAAAGGGACACTGGGCCTGCAGCACAGAGGACAAAAGGCCCTGGGGCAACAGATGAATGGGAACAGGTAGCTCCCATGGACAGGATCAAGAGAGTCATAGAAAAAACATGTCTACTGTCTGGCCATTTGTCCTCAGCAACACCCATTCTCTTTCCTTATCTTTCTTCTCTAGAGACATTTGGGTCTCTGCATCTATAGGCGCCACGAACATGGATTCAACCAACCATGGATGGGAATATTTTTAACTCCAGCAAGTTCCAAAATGTCACCACAGCTGGATGTGGTGGCATACATCTGTAATCCTGGCGCTTGGGAGGCTGAGGCAGGAGGATCATCATGAGTTTGAGGCCAACCTGAACTACATGGTAAGATCCCACTTCAAAAAAGTCACCACACACTGAGCACACGTGGAATTCACACTATGTCACAATGTGTGGGCAGACACCACTGTCGCACCTCCTGTAGGTCACAGATCCTGAGTCTTCTCCAGGACTCACTGTTTAAGCGCTGTTCACCTCATGACTCATTTATATGCTGTGTCATTAGGGCTACAATGGCTGCACCCATACTGAATACATACACAGGTTTTCCTTGTGGTTTTGTCCACTAATGTAGTATAATGGCTATTTTCATAGCATTTCCATTAGATGAAGTATTATTAAGTCACCTAGAGAGGATTTGAAGGCAACGGAAGGTTCTATGCAAATACTATTCCATTTTATCCAAGGAACTTGGCACCACCAGACTTTGGTATCTGCAGGGATCCTTGGAGACAAATCCCTACAGATACAAAGGGACAGCCGCATGTGTAAATCTGCGAAAAAAGAATGATTTGAAAATGAGTGCTAACTGCACCGAAGCTTCTGGTAGAAGATGAGTGTGCTGTCCCTCCTCTCATAGCTCCTGTTGAGCACCTTAGTGAGACTCCTACAGGACAGGCGTGCCAGGCCAAGCACCCTGGGGACCGAGACACATCCTACTCACCAGGAATCTCCAGGCACAAGATGCTTCTCACCAGCTCTGCAGGACACTCCCGAGACACTGCGGCGGCTCGCTCCCACGGGAGGTAGCAATGCTTGAATATTCACAAGACTGTAAGGAAAAAGATCACAAACAGGATATTAACTAGCTGGAAGAGCAAACAGCTCATTCATAAAGAGGGGAGCTGCGCTCGCATGGAGCCTGCAGCCTAAAACCTCAAAGCAGGACGAGGACTCCAGGATTCCTCAGGGCAAGCAAACATTCGGAAAAACAAAGTCATGAGTGATCACGATTCTCCCTCAGTTTTCAAGGGCACCCCAACATGTACACAGAGGTCAGGGACTACAGATACCAGATGCTTTGAGGCTGTGTGTTGTCCGGCTCCATGCTGAGCACATGGGAAAGGAGAGAGCTACCGGAAACCCTGGCCATTAACATTCCAGCTATCCTTTGCTCTTACAGGAAATGAGACACATTTATCAAGGACCCGTTCCCAGCTTGTTTTGCTACAACAGCAAGCTGCTACAGGGGTACAGGGCTTAGGGTAATTGGGGACATTCTTCTTAAAATTGTGCTAGGGGATACAGCTCAGTGGTAGAGCACTTAACCTGTATTACAAGGCCCTGGATTTGACTCCCAGCACTGCAAAATAGTGTTTGCCACAGATGAAGACAGGGGAAGACGCTACCAAAGAAAGCACAACAGTGCAAGTGCAGATGCCCAGCAGAAGCCCCTGGGAGGGCAAGGGATGCTGCTTCTTCCCGCTGGGTGCAGAGAGGGGTCAGCATGTAGCCACTGGCCACACCTAGACCAATGCTGGTCTCACATCAAGCAGCCACTGGGGGCTCCACGCAGAAGCATGCACAGATACCTCAGTTCCCGCCTGAGTGCCACCACAAACAGCTGCAAAGTGCAAATAGCTACGTGTGCCCAGCTGCCTCCCTCCCCAAAACGACAGCAGTCCTGAGACATGGCGCCTCATGGCCCATCTAATTCCCCTCCTGTCTGCTCCCCACCAGGCCCAAGAAGGGACCCAACCCTGCCGCTTCTGGGACTCCTGGAACTCTCATGCCAGCCACCGCCTTGCTGTTCGCGGCTCCTCAGGGCCACGGCCCACAGCGGAAGCCTCCTGGGTGGCGCAGCGACGCTCCCTACTCTCCATGGGCCTGCCAGGATATGGAAAGGTGCGGGAGCGCTGTCCACACGCGGCAACTCAGGCCACCCCACCCTCTGCTGGCTCTTCCTTCACGTGGGGACAGCACACAGGCACAGCACTCTATACCAGGGTCACTGACTCTGGGCCGCCAGGCACATGCTCCACCCACAGCCATAGCCTGGAGCATGCCACCACAAGGCCTGCGCTCTCCACATCACTTCTTTCATGCTCCTATCTAAGCCTTTCCCTTTATTGTTCCTAGGGAACCTTCCTAGCAAACTCCTCCTCATCCTTCAAAACTCAAGTAGGCACAAGGGCTGCGGGTTTGATCCCCTGGCCAGCCCTGTGGGGCCCACCCCTGGGGTATGCTGAGACAGCAATTAAGACTGGGCGTGGTGGCGCACACCTGTAATCCCAGTTCTTTCTGGAAGGCTGGAAACAGGCAGATCAGTATGAGTCCGATCTAGTAGTGAGACCCTGAACACTCTGTAGACTCCTTCCTAAAATATAAAAAAATACAAACAACTAAGGATCGCATCCCCAAACTTCAGTGGTAATCACACTGTGCTTAGCTCTGTCTTTTTTTGTTATTTTTTAAAAAAATCTTTGTTAGCACATGCAATTTAGAGTTATCTTGGGGAGTGGATACATATATATATATTTTTTTTTTCATTTTTTTCTTTTAGTCTCTTCTCCAGTCTTCCTTAATTCTACTTCCCCCATTTTCATTCTTTTGGTATTGCTATTGTTAGCTCATGTCTATGGCACATAATTTGCATTCATTAAGATTAGTAGGAGAGTGTTCCACCCAAACACAGCTGAATACACATTTTTCTCAGCTGCACA